CACACATAAACACATACACATGTGTGATAAACTTATACAGTTTTTTCATATCTACTAGGAAATGTTTTCGTTTCCTTGAGGCACAACTGTTGTAAACTACAGTGACCAAATTGGTATTGGGTGTGTTCACAGGATAAAAATCTATTAATACTTCTGTTATCTAACTTTTAGATCAATTTTTTTTCAGAAAGTTCAAGTCAAATTTCTTCTTGTTTAAAGTATCTTTTCAGTTTCCTGGATTGGACCCCAAAAATCTTATACCTGTGCTAAATGAAGAGGAAGGATATCATCAAATTGGACCAGCAGAATATTGTCGTGACTATTTTGTTTTGTCAGTTACTATTGCATTTGCTACACAATTAGAACAGGTAATACTATTGATTTATGTTTTTAAGTGGGTTGTTGTAGTGAATGAAGATTCTTATTTGGTTACCATGTAGACGATGTTATAAAGCATGCTCTTCAGAGTGCATAATGACTTTGTAATATTATCAAACTCGGGATTCCATATTTTCTAATATAAAATTATTAGAAAGAAATATTTGGGGCCTTATTACGTAGCACACAGATGTGCTCATTAAAGCTGCCCATATTTTTTTCAGCTGTCCATGTAACTGAAGAAAAGTTGTAACTGCTTTGTGTTTCATCAATGGGTCATATTGCTTGCTCAGAATTAGACAAGCTGCTTTAATGAGCATTAATGAGGGACTGGGTTATGCAAATTGTGAATCACTTCAAATCATATTGGCAGTATGCATGGTCCTATTATCTGTCTATCTCTTTCTCTTTCTTGCTCTAAAATCTAAAAATATAAATTAACTGTATTCTGTCCTGATGGGAGTAGCTAAAAAATTTATGAGCAGGAGCTAATAGTTACTCTTATCTTTGAGTCCTCCAATTTTATATTTCCTAAATGTAAAAATACCTAAATAAATTTAGTAGAATGTGGAAGAGTCTTTATAGTGGAAGTGCAGATGAATGCTCATAGTTCCAAATAATCAGTCTCAGGATGCATAGTCTATTATGTGTTTCCCTCTACATTCACAATAGTTAATACCTACCACAGTGAAAATTCCAGAACGAAAGCCTGAGTTCTTCTTTTATTATTCACTACTTGGTAATGATGTTACCAATGAACCATTTTCCGACCTGATGAATCCAAACTTTGAACCAGAAAGAGCATCTGTTAGAATACGCAGCAGCATTGAAATTCTAAGAGCTTATTTTTTTGCTCACTCAAAGTTGCAGGTAAGCATTTTTACAATGTTTGTGACAATTTAAAACTTAATAGTTGTTCTAGAATCTGAAATAATCCTGTGGACTAATCACAATCCAGTCTGGCATGCATGCAAAAGTTTTGGCCCTACAGAAAAGCAACATTATAATTCAATAGGCTCATGCATCCGCAGAATTGGAGATATTCTTGTTATACTTTAATGTCAGGCAGCATTTCCCTCTGTTTGTGGGGTGTTTAAGTTTAATAAAAAATAAATAAAAATTAAGTTTAAGTAGAAATGATCCAGCATCTACATGTCTGCCTGTTTTAGTAGTACCATTAATTTCTGGATCAGTTTTGTTGTTGTATGGGTTGGGAATTGTGACTCATGTCCTGTAACATGATTATTTGAAGCTATTGCTAAATTGTGACTTGAAACATTCGGGATTTTAGAAAATAAGACACTCTGCGGAACATTAAATTTTAGGGAATTTGCTTCCATAAGAAGTTAATCTAAGATTCATTACGAATGCTTGTGCATTATATTTAAAGAATAGTGTTTGCATTTGGAGGTGATTGTGTAAATTCTTTAAATATAGCTAATTAGTATGATCTATTTGTCTATTTTTTCTCCTCATAATACTTTTTTGACTTCTAGATTCATCTCTGCTGTGGGGACCAATCTCTTGGAAGTACTGAAATTCTTTTAACTAGCTTATTAAAGAAAGGAAGTGCCGAAATTTTCCAGCATCCAGTAGCTATAGAAGGAGCATTTATTCTTGTTCCACCTAATAGAGCTCGGCAAAAACTGCCACCCATGCCTTTGGATATGGCACCTACTGTCGGAGTATCAGTTTCACTTCAAAAGGATGGCAGAATTTGTCAGGTGCAGCTCATTTTTTGTTATTTACTTTGTGTTACTACTTAAAGTGTAGAATACAATAAAAATATACTGATGATCCCTGTTACATGAAAATGAAATTAATGCTAATCATAAATCTTGCTTTGGGTTTGTTCAGCCTATAATCCAACCAGCTGCAAAGCCTGAGACTGAAAATGTGAAAAGAGACTTGTCTCCAATACCTGATAAAGAAGGGAGACCTGAAAATGGCTCTCAAGATATCCTACCTCAGACACAGCATTCGCCTCCCATAAAAGAAGATGCTACAGAAAGTGAAGTAGAAAGTATTCAATATGACAAAAATCCAAAATTACAGAAAAAAGGTAAATAACCTTTAACTTGATTATTTTCTCTACCCCAAAGTTATTCTTGTATTGTATCTTGTTTTATAGTAGCCTCATAGAAAAAAAGGTTACTCTGCACAATGATTTAATCTAATTTAAAACATTGTAAAAGTGCTGAGTAGATCAAACGAGTCAGCAGGTGATTATAATCTATTTATGGAATCACTTTATGTTTAGTTTGAGAGCATCATCTGCTTATGGTTGTAGGTTTCATGTTTCATTTTAAAGTAGTTTGTTGGTATAAAAACACCTGTTTTTTTTCTGTGTAAACAGAATACAGTAACTGTGATTTATATGATTTTTGCCCTTATATGGAAACCTTTTGAAATCTGGAAATATATTTTGTAAATACTAGTCTTCCAGAAATTTCAGCCTTAATCACACAAATTGTCTTCAAGATGCCACATGGAATATTTTGTATGAACCAAAAATAGTGTGTGTGTGTGTGTGTGTGTGTGTATATATGTGTGTGTATATATATATATATGTATGTATACGTATAT